AAATGTGTTGATTAGGAATTTACAAAATTGATAGTTCCTTTCACAGTTTATGGCGGTTACATTACAATAAGTCATACGACATAAGTAAACAGATTGACATGTGCGGAGCTTTGTTTTCCTATATTCCAATTTTTACATCGTTACATCGAACCATGTTCAATTTCGCCGCGAACGTTGTTAGCTAACCAATGTTCACTAATTATCATTATCAGGCATAACACCTCTGGATGACAGCTATACGCCTTTACATTCGATTCATTTATTACGGAATCGCAATCCTTCTATCTTCGTTGCGCTCAATTCCGGTATTGAATATACTTTATGTACGATATATCATATTAAGTCTTAAGGGCACATTTTCCCCTCGCAAATGAAAGTTCAAAAATGCCTAGTAGTTTCGGAAATGCCGAAAAACGAAGTTTGAGCGATTTTACAAGATTTTTACTAAAAATCAAAAGAATCATTGTGTAAACATAAAAACATACCTGTTATAATCATTAGGCAATTAAGCGCAGGTGAGTAGCTTAAGATGTTTTGATATTCGTATGTACATAAGGTATTACGAGATCTGTGTTCCAAGAGGTGTAGTCCTTTCTGGTCCACAGCTAACCACAAAACTCTCGGCCAGCCAGATGTGAAAGATTGCTGAAAAAGAATAAATTGTTATAAATATTTCAGTATTAATTTTTATCTAATCAAAAATGATAATTAAAGCCAATCTTGCACTCTTTCTAATGTATTACCATTTGATTTTAAGTGTGAATTATTTTTTTTCAAAATTGTAATCGATAAATGAATAACACTTGAATTTGGAACATTTCTTCTCACTAGTGGCAACTTTTGATAAAGATTATACTTGACAGTTTTAATTTGAGAATTCTTTTATAAATTCGATTTTTTCAAAAAATCTTTATAATGAAAATTACCCATTTGGCATGAATAGAGCCATACTCAAAAACCTGGATTAGTGTTTGAAGTGTGCAAAGTACTAACCAAATCTACTTTACAGATTTTTTGAACAATTGTACTCATCACGAGTCCATAACTTTGCAGTTACATAATGTATTACTAGCTTAATATCCTATATTCCATGATGTTTCAACGTGACATAGATCCATGTAGATTTAATGATCACTGCATTTCAAGTCATCTCAAAAATTCAATAAATACTATTTAACATTTAGTGAAAATACTTCTTATAAACTACTGAATGTAAACAGATTCGATGTGGCACTCAAATAAACATCAGAATGTGTCGAAGGGTCGTGGTAGATAATGACAATAAACAACAACTAAGCAAACAACAAATATCATACCATAACGTCAAATATGGTTGCCTTGTGGAGTGGCCAGCTCTGTATGAGATTCAAGAAGGCTTGTTTTGCCTCGGAAGCTGTCATGCCCTTGATGGACTGGTGGTGCATCTGAACCCCTTCGAAAGAAACTGCCGGCACCATTCTCGCTGATAGACAATGTGCGGCTATAGGTCGATAGTCCAATAGGTTTCCATCAAAATCGCCCACTTCTAGTTGGGCTTGGAGGGCAGTCAACATCATCTATATAAAAATACAGTTAAGGATATTCATTCTCATCAGTAATACTACATAACAAGTAAAATGTAAATACATAGATAAACAGATCAAAAGTAGTATTAAATCTGCTTAAGGTGATGGTCGAACAATCACTAAAATTGATCACTATGTATATTGAGGCAGAAGTAGCTTTGGTATATAAATGCAATTTTATAGGATATCTATTTTACATGTCTAAAAAGCAAAATATTATCTCAAGGATTTTAAATGTGGTACCTATTTTATGTTCAAATAGAACCTATAAACGGACAATATTTCACCGCATTATTCAACTGCGATACAGAAGCTTTTAACGAATCTGCACGTAGCCATTCCCAAAATTGCATCAAAAATTGCCCAAACATTTTTTTTAAACACACTAAAAATATTTTTTTTTCTGCTTCTGTCGGTTATTTTAGATTTTTTGGACTATTATGAAAAATAGTGTATTAGAGCTTTCCTCTAAAGTTTATTTTTGAAAAATAAGCCATTTCATGTTTGGAAAAGTCAAAAGGTGCGGAAAACCCTATGAAAACAGTATGAAAATTATAATGTTCCCAATGTTTCTAAATATCCTTCAAACATGCATTAACAAAATCCCAGAATCATAGGGGGTATTCGTTTTGGTTGCTTATCATGTCAACAATGTTTATTAAATGGTCAATTGGATTACATCTTGGAGTAGGGGCTCATACTTTAAGATTGGTGTTAAGACGCGTACCATTTCGTCAGTAATTCTTGCCTGATTTTCTAGCTCTTCTAATGGGAAATTCTGCAAAGTGTATGTCTCTATTAATTGCATGCAATATTGCCAAGATATAGCCGAGATATATAGCTGTGCCGTATGCTGCAATACCTGTATGTTCATGGTGGCTGGGATATTATAGTTGCCATAGTTATAGCCAAACATTTTAAACAAAAAGTCCCAAGCTCTAAATCCGTAGAAGAGAACTATGATGTACTTTCGACATTGTTTGTGTCGGAACATTACGTCAGAACTATCCTGCCTAACCCTTTTCAGAAAAAAAATGTCAAGTTGTAAAACAGAGGCTTACGTCGCTTGAACATGTCTCAAATACTCCCTCAGCTGGGCGCGAAGTGCCTGAGGGGCTCAGTGTGAAAAACTGTCTGCAAAATCTATCCTTTGAATAAAAAGGAATCAATAAAGAGATAGGATTGGGAACCCATTTATATTACAACAATACCAAGGGAGAGTGCGGAACGTAAATTATCTAGCGATAGTTGAGCCTGACAGAACGACTGCGCCTCGAGCAGAGTTAATAAGTTTGAGAACTTATTATGTGGTTTTCATGTTCATAGGATTCCACGTGGTTTGACTCGGCCAGACAATGGAGTCCTGTTAATAGGTTCTGCTGAGGAACATTCGTATTTACAGAATATTTCTGCGAGATGATAATTTGTTTGCTTGAGCAATATCTCATTTTGTTGTTCGTAAAAAATAGACATGACTAGTTTTGCAATAAAGCAAGCGTATCTTATGATAAGTCACTGTCAATAGTCATTCCAGAATAGCATTACGATATTCGTGATTAGTTTACCTTCAGGTTTTTTGAAAGTATTTTTTACGCGTATACGATATCTTAGGGACTTCATTGATTTCTTCAACTTTAAACATGGTTAATTGTTCATAATGTAAAAGATTTACTCCAAAGTTTTAAAGATGTATTGAACGATAGATCAAACACTTACCGCTTCTTTGTCAGTAACTGGGAACCTGTCCGTCCTGAGATCGTATAAAACTTGATGGTACAACAGTTCCTTCTCTACTGGATCAGATAAATTGATGAAGTTGTCCATGAAAAGATGTTTCTTGAAAAGGAAGAAGTGATGCTGAGGTCTTGCCCTTTTTGCAGTGCCTGTAGTATTTGTGGCATTTGCTGCTGAGGCGGCCCTGCAAATATTTGATAAGTATGGTGATTGAGGTTTCGAAGACTTACAAATGCGGTGTAATATTACATTTGAAATATCAGACTTGGAGAGCAAAACACTCCAGCACAATAAGTAGGTTTAAAATATCTGTATAATAAAAGATTTCGATATTCCGGCATTTGTGCCCAAAATGTTGAATGGTCATTTTGTGTTCGTGGTCTGGGGATTTTTCCAATTTTATGCTAGTACGAATAGGCAGGGGTAGCTGCCAGTAGAGTGAACGTTTTTGTTGTTTCCATCTTGATTTTATCGAAATCATTTTTAAAACATTATAGACAGTAAGCGTAACATGTCATCCTCCAACACAAACTTTTGAGATTCTATAGAGAGTTAAGTACATTATTACCTGTAACGTTCCCATTTAGCCATAACGTCCGTGACTTTCTCTTCAGCAGCAAGGGATCGTTCGGAATTTCCTAGAACTTCGTAGATGGCATATCCTTTAGCATCCTGACTGAGTCCTATTTTATCCCTGACGATTTCGAGCACATCTTTTGCCGTGGAAGACGGATGGAACTCCACGGAATGGTACTGACCATCCATGAAGTGGAATCTAGCATAGACTGGTCGCCTGTTAATGGTGCAGAGGATTTCTTCTCTGGATGGTGGCCACTGTCTCCTTCGAGTGCCTTGTGTTTTTGATAGGCATTTTTCGGCAAACCTGGCGTACTTGCCTGAAAAAGGTGTTGTGTTGTGACATCCGCTCAACAGCTTAGATTGGGCTTATTAAGTTGTTCATTGATCATGAGCGGGGTTGATTTATTCATAAGTATCTGCAATAGGGATCTACCATTTATTTAGTTAAATTTATTCGAGAAACGTAAGAATCTAAAAATATGTATATTACGAATTATGATGCAAATTTCAACAAATAAAAAACGAATTAGTCATCAACAGACAATGTATTCTAACAAATATCTGCTTGTTGTTGAAATAACCTGAATATAAATCTTACATAATTAAATAAAATATCTTTTGAACAGCATATTTAACTCAAACGACAACTAACATTGGACATTACTTCTGATACGTTTACGCAATTTTATGTGATTTACACATACAGCTTACAAAGATTAAAGTGTACTGTTTCCCAGTGAATGTTTGTAAATATATTATGGTCAATATGGCGGATTGATTTCACCATAATAACCTTACCGGTTACCTCAGATATTAAATGCTAGTCTAAGTTTTGATACTTCCATCTGTAACTAACATATATTCGATATATAGAATAGATAAGGGTCAATCATGTTATGTACCTTCTTCACTAACGAAATCCGAACTACACCTTCTCAAATGTGCGATCAAATATCTTCTTATAGCCTTGTTAGGTGGTAATACTACTGAACAAGCTAGTGATAATAGCGCCCAGTGCCTCAGATTTACTCTAGAGTTAGGATCAGGGTGGTCAGTGGTCTGCTTGATCAGCATCAGGTACAGTTCACACAGGTAGGAGTCCTTACGCATTGATCGTTCCAGGATTGTTTGGAGGAGTGTTACGTGTTCGTCTTCTACCCGTCTCACTGTTTCACCTGAAATATAAAGGCAATTTAGAATTAGAACCGAAGATTTAGACTTCTCCTCACTCTGTCAGCATATAGGTGCGTCCGTAAAATCTTTGTCATTTCATGAATCTGATTTTAAAATATAAGTATAAGTAGTAGTTTTAAAGATGTTATTCGCCGCGAACAATTGCAATCGACAGCGCTTTTCAATTTGCTTATTTACACTATCTGATTTTATTTTGTAGTTGAATATTGGTGATTTTTAAAAAATCTTGCTGTGCTAGGTCCAAATCGGATATACGGTTAATTGTAAGGTAATGCCTAAAAATTTCGAAAATGAGATATTGTTTTTCTAGATACTACATGACATGCACAACATGAAAAACCATGTCACTCATTTCCGTCGGTCCATACGCGAAACAACTCTAGAATTCTGGAAGTATGGCTCGTATTTTGATGATATTTTGACACAATACACTTTGTGTTGGGTTTGTAAATTACTGGTAGTGGAGCTACGGGCAAAGAAAAAACAAAAAGTAAAAGTAATTCAAGTTTTGTTTTTTCAACGTTTGAGACTCCTTTGCATTTTCAGAAATTCTTATTTTCTATTAATAAAATTATTCTTCTGAACCTGGTAATCCGACGTACTTGTTAGGCATAATAGACATTTTCATACATTTGTCGTTGAAACAGATATATACTAAGTGACATATAAATCCGAACACCCAGTTTAAATGGTTTTATTTTAATAAAATTTTGTATAAGTACTTAATGAAGCATAATAAGTAAATGATAAAAATTTCAAAATGATTGCACTGCTTTAAAGCCCTTTGACCTTTAATAATGTGTGGATGCACCCTGATGTGCTACGCATTCTCCAACGCGCCTAGGCATGCTTCTGATCAGGTGGTCAATGTCCTCCTGTGGTATCTCATTCCAGGCAACCCCCAACTCCTCTCGAAGTGCTTCTAGAGTCTGAGGAGGACGTTACAAATTGAGCAATCTCCTACCCATCATATCCCACACGTGCTCAATTGGGGATAAGTCGGGAGATCTTGGTGGCCATGGTAACAATGTGACATCATTATGTTGAAAGAAGTCTACTGTGACTCTTGCAACATGTGGTCGGGCATTATCTTGTTGGAAAGTTGGATCTGCCAGGGTGTCAAGATAGGGTAAAAGATGGGGTTCTAGAACTTCGTGGATATAATGCAGCGCGTACATGTTACCTCTGATGAAGATTAAAGGTGACCTGGAACCATAAGCTGTAGCACCCCAAACCATGACTCCAACAGTGTGATGAACATGTCTTTCAACAAAAAACTGTGGACTCCTCCTTTCACCACGTCGCCTTCTAACCCTGGCACGACCATCGTGCATGCCTAAACAAAATCGATCTTCACGGTCTGTTGTTCTACGGCGGCGTCCAGTGCCCCTTGCTCCTTGCGTACGGCCTTCTCGAAGCCATGCCTGACAACACCTAACCACAGTGTACACTTCTTTGCACTCTAACTGCAATTGCCCGAAAAGAAAGTCCAGCTTCCCGAAGTCCCACTATACGGCCCCAATCAAACTCACTAAGTTGACGAAATCGTACAGGTCTCCGTACTCTAGGCATCGTAACCGATTGTAAAGGATGTCAAGAACCAAAATCCGCCAACGTTGAGTCTTTACTGCGGCTGAAATATTCATTTTTAGAGCGTTAGTGAATTAAAAAAAAAGCAGTATAAAAACCGGAATGTCCAACTGATAAGGCTGAAAATTTTTTCACTTGTTATTTACAGTAAGATAAATACATTCACCAACTTTTATTAAAATAAAACCATTTAAACTGGGTGTTCGGATTTATATGTCACTTAGTATATGATTCTATTGTTTGTTATGTACAGGTTTACGATATAATAATAATAATAACAGTAATAATAATAATAATGATAATAATAATCATCATAATAATATTAGTCCAAACTAATTATAATCTGCGAATAAATCTATATACCACTCAAGTAAATAAACCTTCTCACTAGATGATTAATTTTTGAAAATTTGGAAAGTCGTGATTGAACATTTTCTGATATTTGTTTTTCAGGGTTTCTAATTTTTTGGTCGCATGAGGGTGTCAAAAAAATTGTGGGTAGCTATTTTGAAATATGGCAAAGCTTCTTTTTTGACTAAGATAAATCTCAAATAGCATTTGTGTGTCAAGTATTTATAATTCGTATGTAGATATGCGTGATAATTGTGATAAGCGTAGAGTCTATCTGCCTCCATTTGAATGATATCCTCCACTTATTTTGATATTCTCTCTCTGAAATAAAAGTCGCATATAAATCTCTCACCATTTTGTCCAAGTCCAGCATATGTCAGTACGATCTGGAACACCTGCAACATGACTTGTTCGTCCTGCTCCGGCAATTTGCTGATACTCTGCGGCAACGGGTTTCTACTAAACGCCCAAAAGGCGTAATGGAAGCCTTTGTAGGTTTCCCCGCTGTCACCTCCATGCTCTTGTCTCAGTTTGTCCAACTTGTGCTTGCTCAGTCTTCTCAAGGTGTTGCGCAAGAAACCGCTGGATGAGTCGGTTGGTTTGCGTAGGATGTCGTTGTCGATTAGAGTCCGGCGGCAGTTTACTAGGTTGTGATACAGGCGGATTCGGTCTTCGTTTGTGATGGCTAAAAAATAACGGGATTTGATACACAATGTAAATCATTTCTCGAGGAAATTGGAAAATGATTATCATGTTGATCAAAGGTCACAAACATCGAAAGATTAATCTTCAAGAGTCATCAATCCTTAAAGGTGTACATTTTTGCCGCAGAGAAATAAAAAATTGAATTGAATGGTAGATGCAATTCTTAACGTGATACGAGCTCGGCTTTAACAGTTTTATCATGATTATATGTTAAAAAAGGTTAGTATATAAGTCGCGCATTTTTAATAGATATGTACCAGTCAAATATGCAGTCATGTCTTACCTATCTACTACCCTTTCCTGACGTATAAGACAAGCAAATAATGACTATGTCAAAGAGGTTAAAACCGGGCTAGTTTAATACTCGCGAGCAACTGAATCCACTTTGCATACTCTACACATCTAATCTACCATACCTCAATTTTCTGTTTCCCCCTAAAAATGTACATACACCTCAGAGGCATTGAAACTCTTGAAGATTAGTTTTTCGTGGTTTGTGCCCATTGATGCTTTGGATTGCAAAGGGAAGACTTTCCATTAACTTCCGAGAAAACCTGCCAAAACCCATTCCTCGTAAGGAATGTGAATCGTCCTTGGGTTTTTTAATACAATTTTGAGCATTCGAATCAAGTACATAATATAATAATAAAAATAATCATCTTTATTAGGGGCGAAGTCTGATCTTCTGCCACTTAACTCCCAAAAAGGTCCAACAGTACAAAAAAAAACAATATTTCAATGTTAACATATAAGTAGCTTCCCATTGGGGCACTTTCTCAGCTAATCTCGTCATACTGCAAGCCGCCTCACATTTCAGAGCGTTCAATTTGTCAAAGTGAAGTGTGATTTCTCACTCCTCCCCTCGCTCCTGGAGCATGTGCTTCACGGTAATTCTGTAGAGTGATTTTTGACTCACTCGATTTGATGACTGGAGGGGATTATTTGTTGGTAATGTTTATATGTTTTCTGGGAATTGGAGAGTTTTGGATCAAGATTTTACAAACACTTAGTTGCAGCTTTTTATAAATGCACCAATCGTAATAAAAAATATCATAGTACACTGAAATCCGACTTATAGATACATGTTCCAAGCTTGTGAGATGGGATTCTCACTTGACCGTTCCTTTGACATTTGAGAATAATCACATTCTTTACTTGTGTGGAGAGTCACTTAGTTGCAAAAGGGTATGGGGTATAAAAATTCAAACTCCCAAAATTTTAATCTTAAATATCCCCTTTCATCAAACGGGTTAAAAATATCGGGGATACAGCAATTACTACAGATGGTGTACAATTTAGCATTCATGCTTCAAGATTAGTTCATTCCTGTCAGCCATCACTGTGTTAAAATCCGTGGGAACATATGGTATAATGTGAGTTGTTAAAAAAAAACAATGTTTATCCCCAAGATAGGTAAAAACAATACCAAAACCAATAGTTGTTTCTTATTATTAAATTAGTTAACCGATACGAAATAAGACTCAGATAAAATGTTTCGCGTTCGTTTGTGGGTTCGTACTATAGCCTGTCCTCGTGGAGAGTAATGAGCTAGCATTTTCCTAACAATCAATACAGAGGAATACTTTTCGCAATATTTGTGTTCTACATCTAACTCACCTTTTGATCTCTTAGGAATTGGTTCACTTTCTGTCATCCAAGCCGCCAACGACGGACAATAACTAGCTATCAGTGACCCAATTTCATTTTTCTGAGTCGTCTCAAACACGTAACATTTGTGACCATTGTCCGTCAGATGACGCTGTAACGTTATAGTGATGAAACTGTCACTCGGATCTAATAAAATACTTTCAATCTGAAAAAAAAATATATGAAAATTTATAGCAAACGAAAAGTGTCGGGTTATTCAAAATATTGCTTTTTGATGATTAGTAAACAGGGGGGGGGGGTAAGTGCACTCACCTCATGGTATCTAAATTCATTTAGAACAAATTTATCATCATTCTTTATAAGCATGATGCCATCACAGTTTATGCCTAAGGTTAAAGCATTTCCATATGACCAATATCCTCTGTACATCACTGGATACATAGTGGTTCCATATAACGGGTACTGCATTACACAGGAGAGATAAAGTGCTTTTGCTGTCAATTCTGTTCGATTTGCACCATATTGGCGGTGAGCTTGGGCTATTATAGGCACCTGAAATCAGAAGACGTTCATTCGTACGACTATCATGGCTATAGCAAGCAACTACTTATTTTTGAGAACGTTGAAATTTTATGATTGTACTAGATGGTTAGGATCGTACGATAGTCTCTAATAGATATTTGGAGAGTATACATTTTCGACTTAGAACCTAATGCTGTTCTTCAACAGGACAAGTTCAAACAACTAAAAAAACACCCTAAAGAGGAAGGATTATAAGCATATAATGGATGATTTTTTTGCTAGTATCTTTTTGGCAACACTGTTTTTGACAGATGACGCGTGAATCGTG